TTCCTTCTTATGGTATTTAGCGGGTAATTTAGGGACAATAACACTATATTTAATATTCTTGTTCTATCATATTGTAGACCCCTGGCATGCAGACTACCTGYATGAGTCCAGTYATATAGCCTGGTCAAGCTAAGCGAGTACTGCTCAGTGTACACCTGATTCTAATTGTAGTTTTATCTTCTCTTCGTGACATTCAATGGCGTATGTTCTCGAAGGGGGGTATAATATGTAAAGGGGAAAATAATATTAAGGAGAAAATATTACTAAGGGAAAAATAATCTGGAAAAAGAAACTTCTTTGTTAAGCCTTCTGTAAATAAGAAATGTAAGGAAATCTCTTTATTTTAATGACATGTCAATAGACAACTTGTCATTGACCAATAGAAAGTCATTCACAATGACTTGTTCATTAACTCCAGGGTCAAGGATGTTTGTTCATTGACATGGCCTTACACTTCTAATTGGGAAGTACTTTTTGTAGTAAACAACAGCTGCAAATCTACTGTACTTTTCCAGTGAAAACGGGTTTTGATCATGTACAACTTTGTACATGCGTACTGGAAAAGAGCAGGGTTGTTTACTGTACAAACAACTACTTCCTAAGCCTTTTTCTGTTGACTTTTTCAGAATGATCTTTCTTATAACTTTAGGATATCTTTAGTGCAATCTGCTCTGTACTAGTTAAGTTAGCGAACGACACCGACAGATTTTCAGGGTCAGCTCTTAGAACTGAGTGCTCGTACTTTTTCCTAAAATCAACACCTGTCTCAAGCTCTTACGTCATACTTGACCTAACTGGTCTAATCTAGTTTGACCTAGTATAAACCGGTTGTGAGGTATTGCGTAAGCTTAGCCCTTAAATACGAGCTTACTCAGAGTTCAGTTCAGTGAGTGTGAGTGAGAGCTGATAGCACAGTGCACAACGAAGTAGCAGCTAGTCAAGAGCCATAACCAGAGTTCAGATGAGATCATTGTAAAGTACTACAAGCAACAGAAAATAAAGTAGAAGGAAGCAACTGAAGAACGACCCGAATCTTTGTGTCCGTTGGGAAAGTATTACTCCCCCACTTCCCCTACGTGACACTATAGATGGTTTTCACGGCGGCCATGTTGGAGGAACTTAACAAAAGAATTGTCAATGAATTCTTTTGCTATATCCTCCAACATGGCCGCCGTGTCTTTTGTTATTTGATTCTCTCTTGGGGATGGTTGAAAACCATCAATAGGGGCAGTTGCCACGCTTGTCCAGTAAGTTAGTCGAGAGCTCTGTACTGACGCGATCGTTTCTTATTATACTGCTTAACGCGTTAACAAGGTATGAGTATACTTTCATTTTATTATTATTATTATTTGAGTGGTTGAATTAAATAGTAATGTCTGTGATATTTCATATAGCGGTTTCTTGATACTTATTCATCGTTGTGTGCAATGCTTATCATTAGTCATTGAGTGGTATTTAAAGTACCACTACGATGAAATGTTAATGCCTCCAATCTTTACTATTTCAACAAGTGTTAAAGTACTTTAAAAATCATGGGAGAAAACTGGCGTTTTTCATTTCTTGATAGCATTTTTGGTTCGAGAGATATTCAAGTCTTAAGTTTATGCTAATCAGGAGGTTGATGACGTCAACTCGCAGTTTCCTTCAACATAGATTTCAGTATATCTCTGAGAGTATTTGATGAATAGAATCCAAACTACTTTGCAGTATACTCGTATTCAAAATATGAAACATGAAAATGCACAAACTGTGGTTTCTATGGCAACACACTGGTGTCCAGGCCTCTAACAAGGATTTGAGTCTTTCAGCGATTGCTTTGCTATTTTCAACTTGAGCCAAAAATTATTTAACTAAATTTTTTCGACCATAACCGCAGATATTTTAACCTAGGCTTATTTGATACCAACTCTCGTAAAGGTAGAAATTTCAAAAACCTGAATTTTAAATAGGGGTGGTCTGGGACTGAGGTTGTTGCTATGGCAACTTATCTCTATAGATACTTTTGAAGAACTGCAAGAAAAATTAAAATATTAGCAAATTTGGTTGATTTTGATTGAAATTGGGCTGAGATATAGCTTCTCATAATCTTAGGCTGCTCAAGTATTGATGACGTCATCGAGACTCCAATATCTTTTGAAAGAAAAAAGATATATTTGAAAAAGGAAAGTGACATTTTATTTTACTATACTACAAAAGGTACTTCAATCCAGCCAAGAAAGAGCAAGTTAGAAATTTGATTGTAGTGGCACTTTACGGAGGATCCCAATTTTTTGATCCCAATTTTCGTTTTGGGTTAACTCTCAAAACCTTTTTTTAACAGTTAAAAACTGATGTACTATGATAAAATGCCTGTTCGAAGCGGTATTTTCAATTGTACAAAGATGTTTTGTTGCACATGTTTGTGTTAGAATGTTGCTTTGTCAGGCTTTTTTATAGAAAATGTATGGGAAATAAGCAAATGAAGGCCTAAACCTAATTTTGATTCAAATTTTTGCTTTGGGTTAACACTTTGATTCCACTTTCATCGGTCATCTCCACTTCCAAACAAGTTAAACTTTCTGAATAACAAGATTTTAGCCTTGTACAACAGCCTTTCTTCAAGAAAATAGTTTTTGGCGCTCACTGCTTGAATACGAAAAGAATTCTCTCTTAACAGATAGTTTTAAAATTTTATTTCTCAGTACAACAGTATAATTGTTTGCAGCTAACACTGCAGTCAGACCAATAATCTATTGTATTTTGGTATGTGTTTTTGTATGAATTTTTGTAAAGTGTTATAATAAAAATGTTCAAAAAACCTTATGTAGTGTTTAAAAAACGAGTAAGAGTGTTTTATACCTGATAAATATTTAAACACTGATACGAGGCTAACCCTGTGCAAATGAGTCTGTAATCAAGAAACACAGCGGTAATTTGGAATTCAAAAGGGGTCTATTATACTGACCATCTTCAAAAAATCGTTACAACTTTTTTGTATCAAAATGTATCAATTCAAAAATTTGCCAATTCGAAGATAATTCATCATATTATTATAGCATATATGAATATCGGAGAGCAGTGCTTTACTGTGTTATTAGAAAACAAGCCGTAGGTGATTCTTTACTGCGCTACCTGCTGGTTTTCAATCATTCCCAAGGGAGTGAAATGACAAAAGTCACGGCGGCCGTGTTGGAGGATATACGAAAGAATTCATTGACAATTCTTCTGTTAAATTTATCCAACATGGCGACTATAACGTCATGTGCAAACGAAGAATTAATCTTTACCTCAGATTTACGACAAAAGAATTGGTAGCTTACATCGATATCAAAATTCTCCAACAACCTAGGCAAAGAATGAGAAGTTGGAACAAGTTAAGTTATAAATTTTTACTTTTAGATGCAAACTTGTGATAATGAATATTTGATGGCATTTGTACTAATCAGTCACGTGGATGCCGGGGCGGGGGGGATACTACCACCCCAAGTTGGGTAGGGGTGTGCCTGCCGCCAGGACCTCAAAACCCTGACCCTATCCCAGACCTAAAATGACACCCTATCCTAGACAAAATGTCAAAAAATGATACCCTACCCCAGACCCAAAAGCTGAAAAACCATACCCTATAGGGCGGCACATACCCGTATAGCAAATATAGGGGAGTACNCCCCCCCCCCCCCACCGGGCGTGGATGGGTGTTTATGCTCATTCTATTTGACTTTGTGCTAATGGATAAGAGGAGGGAAAAAGGAAAGAGGAGTTAGGTTTAACTAAAGGACAGTTTGGCGCAGAATGGAGAGGAAAGGACATGATAGGAGAGGTGAGCAGAATAATGCTGATATCGCAGTCTTCGAGCTATGTTATTCCTATCTACTGCAAAGTACTTATTAGCCATTACGAGGTTTAGGAAAAAACTGGGTCTAGTTGCTTTACAGTGTATTTTGGGGACAAAATAGACGCTATCTTGGAAAGTGCCACAGCCCCACAATGCACTTCAATGCCATTTAACCCCTTTTGTTCCTCAATCTCGGAATGGTTAATAAAACAATCGTTCAAATTTCGTTCCAGTTCCATAGAGAAGAGAACTATTCTCAAGTGGGTGGGGAGGGCATATTTCAGTAATGAATACTTTTGGGGGGGGGGGGGTGGGGTGTGGGGCGGAGAAACACATCTCTCCCCACAACTAAAGATAAGAGCAATACTGTCTAGCACCAAATGAAGAATTTCAATGTATTTAACATTTTATACACTAAATACTACATTCTAGCTAGAGAATAGGCTTGTTTTATTACATTTACTTGTCATGTTTAATTTGGTTGCTTTTTATCAAATTGAATTCTTGATGCTTGGAAGTCTCGGTCATCACAGAAACATAAGAAGCATTTTCATATTCAACATTCAATAGTCTTATGTCATTACCATAAATAAGGCAAATATAAACTTAATAGCCCTATTTCACTATGACGTCACATCAAAACAATCTATTGTTCCGTATCAATCCCGTATCAATCCACGAAGAGAAGTAGAATAGCCAGCAAACGCTCAGTATATTTTTTTAGTACATATCAATGATATTAACACATATTATATCTAAAAATCAGGCCATTTTAGATTAAAACTGTTTCGCTAGGAGCAAATTTAGTTAAATTTTCTATTGGATTTGGCGAGTCTATCTCCCACATAAACAAGCAGTGACGTCATAGTGAAATAGGGCAATTATATTTTTATGTGGCGGTTTATGTGAAATTCAGCATCAATAGAGTGTTTTTTTATTAACTCATGAAACAAAGTGTATTTATTCATTTGTGATGGTCAGATTAACGCAATAGAAAACCAAAGAAGTATAGAGTTTAAAAACCAGTAAAATACTAGTCAACATGTACTGCAATAAGCCTTTTCATAGTTTAAGAATCGATTCCACTGCGCATGCGAAATTTCTCGAAAAAAATTTCCCGAATTTCTCACCTTCTTTTGTCTAAACCTTCTTTTGTTCTTAATTAAACAAAAGGTGAGAAATTCGGGATAAAATCGCATGCGCAGTGGAATCGATTCTTAAACTATGAAAAGGCTTAGAGTCTAATTAGTCTAATATCTATTTTACAGGTTTAGTGACTTCACTCTAGTGCAGTAGTGCTAAATTCAGAAATGATGAAATTAAGCTTATAGACAAATATATGTTCGTCATTCTTGTCATTTAAGAATCCCTTATACTACCTAGAATTAGAATTATGCAATCTGCTATGGACATGAGTGAAAAACATCTGTGCATGCTCTGAATGTTTGCAAATTAGCCAAAACATAAGTATATTTGACTTTCAAGCATGCCTGATAAATTGGACTTCACAAAAAGCCAAAACTTAGTGTCCATGCTTGAAACTTAAGACTAATTCTTTCATATTGTGTTTGTTAATACAGTATCTTGGTCTGACAAAAGTATACTCTCGAACTTTTTTGTATACTTGGAGAAAACAAACATTTATTTTCTCACTCAAACTCTTCAAAAGTCTTAGAAAACATGCTGAAGTGCATGCATGCGCAAACGTTTTCCCCTGGTGTCTCTGCTACCCTGACAAACTTTTTGGATGTCAATCAAAGCTTTTCAAGGGTATATTCCTGTAGGTAAGGAGGTCATGAAAATGCCAGCCTTGATCAATGTCCACCATAAGTCTATTTTGTTATGGACAAATTATACAATTTTGTGCATGTGATTAGAAAGCACTGTAGGTTGTTACTTTGAAATACCAAGTTTTCAATTCTAAGGTCTATATACACTGCAATTTTTAAATAATTTGATTATTTAAGCTGTAGTTGCCAATATTCCATTATTAGTATATCATACAAATATAAATGCTTGCTTACAGAATTATTTAAGATTTAAAAAAAAAAAAGAATTTAAAAAGTTATCTTTCTCATAAAAATAGAAGCTACTACATGTAGAATCAAGTGTTGAGCTGACATCTTCAGATTACATAGTTGCTATAATAAAGTTATTATTATTATTATTACATTAGTTGCTATAATAGACCTATCCCGAATGGTTTGAAGTCGAGATTGAACTTGATTCTTTTATTCATCAAGTTCAACCTTTACTTGAAAACATGTTGTTTCGTGACCAGTCAAGCAAATTCGGGATAGGTCTATTGTTTTGTAGTTCCAGAAATTAAATATCCACGAGGGGAGGGGGTCAGATAAAGAACAACATTACAGAATTTGTATGGAAAAAATTGCAAGTTCCCAGGGGTAGGGGGGTCCTTTTACAAATTCTCTCCATGGTGGGGTATGGATATTTTCTGGAACTGGTACACCTTTTTTTTTTGACATTTTAATTATTAGTTTAGCGTAAAGAAAAAAATAAAAATTATATTTCTATATAGCCTAAAATTAAAATCTATTTATACAAGAATGGCATAAATACACTCACGCAAGCACACAAAACAAAAAATTATTCTATCAGCAAATAAAATGGTCTTGTTATCTAACGTTCTCCTACTATACTATGTGAGCATATATACAATACACTTTGAGCATATAAGATGGTCTCGTCATGTAATAGGTGTGCTAATGTTCTGCTACCATACTATTACTTAACATATCTTGTATGTGTGCCAGTTTGAAGCAATCTCGGCAGACAGCCATGTACTTATCAGCACCTCCTATCACCTCAATCTGAAGATAAAAATGAAAAAATAAATAAATAGGATTTAATGCTTAACCAAACTGCTTCCAAACTGTGGCTTTTCTCTCAGTGAACTCCGACTTGAATTTCAAAGTTGATTTTTGAAGAAGAAAAACTGTAGATCTTGGGAGAAAAACCTCAAAGCATGAGAGAGAACCAACGAGCAACTCTACTCACATACAACACCAAGTCTGGAAATTGAGCCAGTCACATATTTGGTGAGATGTGGGCACTCACTGTGTCGCATCACTCCCTGTACCAGGCTCTTCCATGAGGTTCACTCCACTACATTATATATTTACAACTCACAATGTTTTTAGAGATTGTCATGATAAAAAGGTAAATTTTACACCATGAAAAGATGGGGAAAAAAGTTTTTAGAGAATGAGGAAAACTGAGGGAAAAAAACATCGAAAAAACTGCACTTGAAAATGATCTAGCCCACGACAGGGCTCCAAGACAAACCAAAGCCATGAGAGGCAAGTGGTAATTACGCCAACCATATCAAAATATGCATAATACCTAGGCTACGATTTATGGGCAGTCATCTAACAATGCCTGGGCATATACCTCTTAGGCCGGTTCTCTTGATTTGTCATATTGACTGTACTGGTCACATGTTGATATTGTCATCATGTCAGGCCATTGAGTAGACGTAATTTTAAGCCCTGGATTCATCGGATTCATGTACATTACTATGTTAATTTTGACCACACTTTGAGGGTACTCTACTCTTACCTTTTTATCACTTCCAAGTCTTTTAGTGAAGGCTGCGTCTTTAAAGCAGTTCATACAAACAGCATTTAGCTTAACTACACTTTCTGCTAAAGGGACTAGATTTAATACATTACCAAATGCCTAGAAATATAAAATACACATAGCATTATTACATTTTAAATGATACATGGTTAATTATAGTATAGGTATTTGTATGGTTCCTCTTAAAATCAAGGATTAATTTCATCAGTTTTCAAAATTTTTGAAATTGCCCAACTCACAAGTGAAATTACACGTAATGCTTCATTTTAAAAGGAACCATACATGTGTCATTACTTGTTTATCCTGTACAGGACATAGTTCAACAAAAGAATAAATAAATAAATATAATAATAATAATGTCTTTCAAGGTAACTAAACTAACAATCATTTTATACTACTCCTTCATTAGAAAATCAACTTTTGCCCAGTATTATGATAAACTAACATGTGAAATTACAGAAAAGTTCCAGAAAATATCTATGCCCCACCATGGAGGGAATTTTTAAAAGGAACCCCACTACCCCAGGAACTTCTAATTTTTCTTCCATACAAACTCTGTAATTTTTTTCTTTCTCTGCCCCCCTCCCCTCCAGAATTTCCAATTTCCTCCATGGGTAGGGCATGGATATTTTCTGGAAGTACACAATTTACTAGAGGACATATGACAAGGGTTGTCAGACAGGACTAATAGAGATCTTACTCCAGCCCATAATAGCAAGGTGGTCATAACTTTGAGGTGTCCACAAGGGGAGTATTGACTTTAAATAAAAATGAATCATGAATCATTTGGAGTGTTGTCTTTGTTTGGTTCTATAATTTCACATATGCCTGATGCCAATGAATTCGAAGGCTGGTCTCAAGAGTCACCTCAGAGGCAACGAACATTGTAACAACAGTTGATGTGGAGTAAAAGAGACGGCTATCATCTGAAGAAGACACAGCAATTACCATGCCGAGCTGCAAGGTATGCTGTAACATGTCTAAATGAGACAGGACTATTCTCTTTTTCTATTGTTTTACCTGTCTTTGGAAGGTACCGTCAAGAGCAGCAACAATAACAGTCTTGCCTTCACTTGCCATTTCTTCTGCAAAATCTACAACATCTGGAAACTGAGCAATAATACTATGATTAAATGTAAAATGCAGCAATGATTAAATATAGGATGAGAAATTGGTTTCCATTAGCAGCCAGTATAGATAAAAATGGAGGGAGCGATATCAGTTCTTTAAGCAGCTTGAAACCAGAATTCTCAACATATTTTTGACAACTTTTCAAAATTTACCCTTTTATCATTACTGTTTCATTAGAAACACCGACGCAGCTCACACTAGTTTTTAGCTACAGCTATCTCTTCTAAATATTACATGTACAGTAGGTAAAGTTGTTTTTTTATTTTTATAAATTTTTATGGAGCTTGCTTCTCCTATCAAAACCTTTAGCTTGCTCAATAACCCTTTTGGTCAATAACCCTTTTTTTAGGAGTGCATGAAAATAGAGAGGTGTGGCCACATTGTTTGTTACAGATGTAGCAAAGAAAATATGTTAAGTTCAACCAGCATGACAGCTATGAAAGCAAAATTAACTGTATTCAAAAAATTTTGTATATTTAAGTACAAGAATAATAATTTATACTAAAAGACTTACAAATTGTCCTTCATCTATTCCTATAACAGTTGCCTGTAAAGCTTGTTTCTTAATACTATACAAAACAGAACATGCAGTTGCAGCAAGGGTTTGCCTGAATGAGAAAATATGAAAGGAAAACGAGATGAGAAATTAAAACTGTACATTATGAATAAAATATGCTAGTTTGATACTCAGTATTACGGTATGAAGAAAGATATGGAACAATTGATTCTAATTGCCATTATAAAATAACTGTTATGAATGTCGCATTCTGATTGGTTTGGAGCGCATGCTTTATGAGAGCACATTGCTTGCGGGCGCACTTTCCATTGCGTCATTCCTATCTATTATTGTAATTTGTATTTTTAAAAAGAAACAAAAAACTTGCTTGCTGTGCTGTGTGCAGTCATAAATCACTTGGGGATTGGCAAAACACTCGAGAAGTGTCCAGAAGCACTCCGCTACACGTCATGCTTCTCCTAACACTTCTCTCGTGTTATGCCGCCCCCACATGCTTTATGTGACAGCACGTGCGCGCGTTTTCTATTTCTACAGTTTTGTACATTAAGTCCATCAAACAAATTATGGACTTATTAGAATTAAATTAAATCATGAAGTTATTGGAAAAGATATGCTTGGAGTGAGGTGCTGAGTAGATGATGTCTTAGATTCCAATAATAAATCGTAAAATATAATGCTTCCCAACATTCAGCCGAAATAAATTTTGGACAGTTTTTGTACTAGTTTCCCTCATGTAGGGTGAATATTGAACCGAGAAGTAGTGTGGCTATGTATGGAGCAAATTTTACAGAGAGCCCCTTAAGCCTGATTTTCATAAGTGACGCAAGCACAAGTGCAATCACAAGCACAAGCATAAGAGGCCTTATTTCAGCGTAAAAACTGTCCAACCCAAGCATAAGCACAAGCGCAAGCATCAAAATTTTTTCCTTTTCGTTGTGCTTGCGCTTATGCTTGCGCTGGACAGTTTTCACGATGAAATAAGGCCTCTTATGCTTGCGCTTGTGATTGCGCTTGCGTGGCTTGTGAAAATCAGGCTTTATGGAAAGTAATATAAATGGATGTAAAATAATATAAGTTTTTGGGGTCAAAAACTGTTAGAAAAATGAAACTTAACTAATAGTCAAATGCATGAGGTCTTACTTGTCATGTGTTGCAACGTCATTCATATTATATCTGAGGTCCTTTTCATATTTCACCACTAAGCACCTATGATTGGCTATTTGATATCGCTTAATTCTTCTCAATAGTTCTGTACTGTAGAAACAAACAAAGAAAAAGACTATGTTATAGTAATAAGGATCATATAATCATAGTACACCAGTTTTGCATCCGATGCATAGAGCTGTTTTTTGAAGACTACAGACCCACTTGCACAGGCCTAGCCTTGTTTATAAGTCAGCTATTCACAGATACTATTAAAAGTCTGTGGGATTCCACATTTTTGGTATTATTCAAATTGCACATTCTTTACATTCAGTTGACTCTTGCAAATGATTTTGCCACAAGGCTAAACTTGTACAAATAAGTCTGTATTCATTGAACAGAGCAGTATTTACAGATAAAAATCATACAAAGAGTACCAATGTCAAAGATAGGCTACATGTCCCACCATGAGCAGGGCTCACAATATCGGACTGCATATGGCCAAATGACAGACCAAATTTCAGGTTTGGCAGGCAAAAATAAGGATGCACTGCCAAATTAATAATAAAATGGCATGCAAGATTTACTGGAATGACCTCCTTTTACCATGCTCGTTTACTATGGCAAGCTAAAAAAAATTTCTATTTCGAGCTCAGATAAGCATTCTAAAAGGGAAAAATGATGGATCTACGTAGCCTTAGAACTTAGGTCTATAAGGCAAAAAAATTAAATATGATTCAAAAAAATTTATAGAATAACTGTGTGGATTTAGCCAAGGCTATGCTGTGATTCAGAGCGAAACTAAATGTAAAAATTAGGGGAGGGGGGGGGGGTTGTACTGTATTCATGGGTGGATAGCAGGGGGTAGTACATGTTGCTACAGTACTGTACAAACATGTGCACTTAAATATAAATACTATATGTAATTAAGTAAAAAAAAACTTACTAGGATTAATTCAAATCTGTCGCATTTTCAATAATATCTATCATGGAATCTAAGTATTTTACGTGTTTTTTCTTTTTTATTCTAAGAACGCTTTAAAAACAAACACAGCCGACTATTGTTCAATTCAAATTTTTGGCGCCGAAACGACAATCCACCTTCAAAACATTTGAAGCGAACGAATATTTCCTTGGCAATTCTGAGGTTCATCTTTCATGCTTCTAAATAAAGAGGACAATTTCTAATGATAGGCGCTGTTTTTATTCCAAAGAAAACATTTCTGTTCGAAGTAAAATTTTCGCGCTTTTATCTTATTTACAAAATGAGTACCGAAGAGAAAAATTTTAATAAAGACAGAATACTTACGTCTTGCCAGAGAACATTGGTCCAAATATAACCTACAATTGAGGAAACATGTATAAGCTTCTAAAATAAAAATTATTCTTACGACTATTAAAAAACACAAGTTTAGCACGAAGCATTTGAGGTATAAACCTGAGCTAAAATAAAATGCTGAAACGACTACGTACCTGAATTTGTCCTGGACATTCGCTTAGACTGTGATGTCTTTGGTAATTATGGAGTTCGGGGATGGTTACTAGGGCCATTTTGGTGAGTTTAGAAGGAATAAATGAAGGAGTTTTGGAGGAGAAAATCTTTTGTAACGAGAGTAAGGCGCCAAATGTGACTTGAATCTCCCGCCGAAGCATCTTAACCCACAATGCACTGCGACCTACGCGCAATGATTCATGGTTAATCATCATCATCATCATTCATCGTCATCACAACCAAAAGATTTCAAAACTATTTTTTTCACTCCAAAAAGTTATATAATAATAGCATTTTTATACGTACCTCAAGTATCATACAGACCACAAAATGTCTTAATTTCTCAAACAGAGGCAAATATATGAAAACTTTTACCACAGATGTCTGTCTGTAATTCTAATTTGCACAGTAATTCGCAATTTTTTTCGTTTCGAGTGAAGTTTTAGAGCATTTTAAAGGAAAAAGCTATGCAATTTGTGATTCACATGTTTTCAAGCGAAGCACCATGTTGAAAGTCCCGCGCGCCCGCGAATCGAACCCAACAACCCCCGCGATCCTCGGTGAGTGATCAGTCTCCTGTGATATCGTTGCCTTGACAACACGAGCAAGCAAAAACATGGCGGACGAAGAAAAGGTAACGTTAAAATTGTATTGCTCACTTTTCTTACTTTTTCTTTCTTTCTTGATGCTAAATGTACAATTTTATTATGAAAACTAGGTTAATAGTTAATGCTTTTTCTAATTACACTGTAATATATTTATGAATAGACCTAAATATTGTAAGATTTTTGCTTAAGATATCCGCAAAGACCAATTTTTTGATGAAAAAATTGTAAATATTTTAAATATCAATGTTTTGAGTTGAGTTATTTTCTCTAATTTCAGAATTTTATTGAGCGAAAGAGTATATTTTTAGTATGTCAATGTAAATATCTGTCCTATTTTGGTGAAATTATAAGAGAATAAGAGTATATTTGTACTATGTCAATGTAATATCCGTCTTATTTTGGTGAAATCATAGGCTCCAGAAACTGCACCAGAACAAGAGGCAGTGGTTGACGAGAAGGATGGCGATGATGAGAAAAAAGATGTAGAGGAAGGAGGAGAAGACAATGCAGAGCAGCCTGCAGAAGATCCAGCAGAGTCAACAGAAACAGCAGAAGGTTGATAAAATCTAATATAAATTTCGAAAATCATTAGTTTTCACTTGACATATTTTCTTCGTTAACACTCTTGTCTGAAAAATTGCAAGTGACTCATTAGATATTTATTGGTATTAATAAAAAACCTTTTTTTTAACACTACTGTGTGCACATGGATATATAGAACTGAAAGTGGGGATAAAACTACTGTAATTTGCCAATCAGTGATTCACATTTCCAGCATTACCAATTAATAACTGGGCCTTGGAACCTGACAATTATGTGACATTTTTGTTCATAGAAAATAAAGATACTGAAGTCGCAACAGAAGAAACTAAAGAAGAAGACAAACCATTGGAATTAGATAATACTGATGAAAACTTACCTATTCCTGAGGTGGGTAATAGACAGAACAAGTTTATTTTGGCAGGGGTGGTTCTATGGATTGCTAAGTCTAAATGACAAGGCGCAGGTAACTCACATATCAAACCCTGAAACAACCTCTGGGCTGATGTAAGTCAGGGCATGGCTAACTCACAGATTAAACCCTGAAACAACCTCTGGGCTGATCTAAGTCAGGGCATGGCTAACTCACAGATCAAACCTTGAAACAACCTCTGGGCTGATTTAAGTCAGGGCACGGCTAACTCACAGATTAAACCCTGAAACAACCTCTGGGCTGATCTAAGTCAGGGCATGNAGTCAGGGCATGGCTAACTCACAGATAGAACCCTGAAACAACCTCTGGGCTGATCTAAGTCAGGGCATGGCTAACTCACAGATCAAACCCTGAAACAATTCATGGGCTGCTAAGTCAGGGCTCTGCTAACTCACAGGTTGAACCCTCAGTAGGCTAGCTACAACTCAGACTGAATTGGGATTTAATTAATTTTGTGAGTGGCAAGTATACTGTAAAAGCGCACACCACTACATCAATCTCCCTTGATTCCTATAAAGAACAACATATTTTATAATCAATAAGATGAAATCTTAAAAGAGTAACAAAAAGTATCTAAGAAGTACTTCCTATGGGAAGGTTGTCAATTGGGATACAAGTCCTGTATCCTCCTCCTGTCACGTTTTATCGTAATAACCTACTTCTTTTTCAATATTTTTTCCTTTTTATCTCTGTATAACTATATTTAGCTCACTTGGTTTATTAGAGCACGTATTGTACCTCGGGTTGTAAATAGTGACGAATAAACTAAACTAAACTAAAAATTATTTAATTTTGAGATTCATATATTCTTCAGAATGAGGGTGTACCTGAAGAAGATGTAACTCCAGCAGTTGAAGTAGCTGAGCACATGTCTAGAGAAGGAACACCAACAGGTGACGCTGAGACAGATGGACCAGCTATAGCCATGGAGGTACCTGATGCGACTATCACTCCCCCTCCGGCGGAAGAGGTGCATGAGGAGTATGAAGATGAAGAGCAAGAACCTGCGTATGTTGATAGTTATGGTAAGAACATTTTAGTGTCAACACTTCAATTAAAGGTTAGGGGTATAGGTGGGCGTACGATGACGTCATTTGTTTTGATCAAGAACATGAAATTCTGACTTGGAAATTCAAGCAATAAACAAACAAACGTCAAAAATGGTAAGATCCTATCGCTTGGGAAGTATCTGAGAATTTGAGAACAAATCTCTTGGTTTTCAAGTTAACGTTGTTAAATTTGACAGTAAATGTATGTTGGTTGGCAAAATGTTGCCAACCAACCTACTACATTAACTGCAAAATTTAGCAACTTTAATTTATTATTTCTCCTGAACTAATGAAGCAAACTGCTCTTAAATTGATAAATATTATCAACAGTTATGACTTCTTTGTATTCTTGCCAATTGTTTATTGCTCAAAAGTTGATTTTTGGAAATCTAAACAGTACGCCCACCTATATTGTGTATAAATATTCTAGAAAATATTCATACCACCTCAAATTAGAGTTGCACTGGGTTTTCCAATGGGTAAGAATCATATTAGGTGCTAGTAGAGATGGTATATCAATACCATATTTTGATTGATGGTACTAAGTCATGACTCTATAGTTATATTGCCCGATTTCATGACTGTAATGTCTCCGATCTGCCTGGGGAGAGGGGTGTACTCCCCTATATTCGCTATACGGGTACGTGCCGCCAAACAGGGTATGGTTTTCAACGATTCTACTCAGGGAAAGGATTATATAAAATCGCTCTCACTCTGGGACAGGGTAGATGAAATCACGCTTTCGCAATACTGGAACAGGGTATGATTTTCAGCAGTCTTCCTCTGGAACAGGGTATGAATTTCAGCGATTTTACTCTGGAACAGGGTCAGGTTTCAGTGGGCTCAGCGGCACCTCCCTACCCTAAATGGGCAAGAGTACCCCCGGGCCGATCTGCCAGCCTATAGCAATGAAAAAAATTGGTAAATATTGGTATGAAGAACAAAGTTATTCAAGTGAATTCTATTATGATTCCATCAGTGCCGTGTCATTGATTTTTATTTTTTGGCTTCCCAATATTAGCTGAGCAAGCACTGTTTGATGAGGATGAAGAATATTATGATGATTCTGAACCAGAAGAACCAATGTACAATAGACAAGAACTTCTTGATAAATACCATGTAAGCTACCATATAGACAACAACACCTCTATCTGCCAGTGGTCAAATATGTTCCAAAGAAGATTTAGAGAGGCGAACATCTATTTAGTGACCTGAGTTGTGAAAGTCAAAATTATTAAAAAAATTTTTTTTTTTTGCTTTATACTGCATTTATCTATTTTGAGACCTTGGGCATTGGCATCTATAGGTATACTGTAGGCTACCCCCCAAAAAATCTTTTGGACTTTCATACTTAAGGCCATAGATGTTAGCTTGTCATACATACATACACCTACTTGCAAGAAGGTTGTCATAGAAGAATAGAACATTAGTAATTTAGTGAGAAAGAAAAACATTAAAAGACAAAAGAAAAAGTTCAGCTTCAGTGATCTTCTTTTGTTTTTTAATATAATTCCTATCCCACTAAATCACTAATGTTCTATTTTCGTATGACAACGTTCTTGCAAGTAGGTGTATATGGGTATTAAGTATGTTTATAAATGCCAACCACTATTTAGATGGAAGTTGTCATAATTTGTCTCAAATAAGATTTTTGCACTGACTAATACCTCTATTAAGCCACTAACTTCTATTTGGTGACCAACCTCTAATTAGTGACCAAGTTCCCAATGTCGAAAAAATGGTCAATCTGAACATGAGAGAAAAAAGGTTTGACTAATTTGTATACAGATTCAGAGCATGCGCAGACGTTTTTTACTCGTGTCGTCAATCTATGCTTTTTTCTTCTCTTATTAGCAAGCCCTTGAGGAAAGGTCTTCTTTGCAATCACTGAATGCTCAGTTACAGCACAAGTTAGCAGAATATTTCAAGAAAAAGAAGGTAATACTTTGCAAAACAATAAAAATAGAATGATATGAAATAAAATATGTAGTTAGAGAATCCATCCATCCAACCCTCCCTCCCCCCTCCCTCCATCCATCCCTCCCTCCCTCTCTCCCTCCCTCTCTCCATCCCTTCC